TTTGTCCTTTTTGTTTGTGTAACAGTTTCAAAATATTTGCTTCTTTATTACCTTCTTGGCTCTCTTCAGTTCTGCTGGTCCTCCAGTTTAATTTGCACGTTGGATCCTGGATGTAGTTCTGGCAGATTGTGAATTCCACATTGGTAATCAAGTTGAATATACAGGGTGTTTTTGTTTTACATCCAGTGCATAGGATACAAATTTGGAATCTTTGGAATCAAGCCGGAAATAGCATAAATTCATTTCCGAGATGACCTATGTTTAAATGTGCTGGATTGAAGGAAATGACATTGATGGGAAATTAGGAATGGGTCTTCTTTTCATAGAATTTGCTTTGCAACATGAACCACTGTTTCTCTCTCCCACTGGTTTTTGGATAATAGGAGTTGGTTTTAATAAGCTTCTCTGCAAAGAGTGAAAATTTTAAATCTCTGAGTTCTGAAGTAGCAACTGAGGATAATAGATCTTAAAAGATTTACCATAATTGCTATCTCACAGTTTCAGTAAAGATTGATGACAGTTACATTTTTATGACCTAAATTCTTAGCTGAAAATACTAGTTTCACTTCTTTTCCAATATCTCTCTGCAGTGATATAACTACAGTATTGGGTGCTCTTTTTTACAGTTTTTCTGGCAAAGTTCGCAATCTGCTACACATTTTTTAAACTGAACTGTATCTGTAAAACAAATAGTCTAGTGCATTCCCTGCCTAAATAGTCCTGATGAAGTTTTTCTGTTATAGTAGCAGCTCTATTATCATACAGATTTTATATAATGCAAAGAAGAGATTTCATGTGGTAGGCATGTTGTGTGTATAAGATGGTCAACCATTTTCTATGCAGTTCAGTTCTATCTGTAGCAGTGGTGGGTTGCTCCCGGTTCACACCGGGACCAGTAATAAAAATTTGTAGTAGTTCAGAGAACCGGTAATAACATTGGCTGGCCACATCCCCAAACTGGTCCCCAGCCCGGTCGCCGCTCGCTTACCCCGTCCATCTCATCAGAGGCTTTTTTTTTACTTTTAAAAGCATTTTTTCTACAACCTCTTTGGCCGAAAAAATGCTTTTAAAAGTTAAAAAAAAGAGCCTCTGATGATCGTGCGGTTCAGCTGGGATCGTCAGAGGCTTTTAAAAGCATTTTTTCTTCAGCCGAAGAGGTTGTAGGAAAAAAAATGCCTTTAAAAACCTCTGGCAATTCCAGCTGAGTTGCCTGATTGTCAGAGGCTTCTAAAAAAATGTCTTTAAAAGCCTCTGGTAATCCCAGCTGCGTTGCCTGATCATCAGAGGCTTCTAAAAAAATGTCTTTAAAAGCCTCTGGCGATCCCAGCTGAGTTGCCTGATCGTCAGAGGCTTTTAAAAGTATTTTTTTCTGCAATGTCTTAAGATTGTAGAAAAAATGCTTTTAAAAGTAAAAAAAAAAAAAAGTTGGCCATGCCCACCCAGTCACCCCCTCCACCAAGCCACACCCACAAAATAAGCCACGCCCACAGAACCAGTAGTAAAAAATTTTAGAACCCACTCCTGATCTTTAGGACTGGGTCAGAAGCCATAATGCAGAACATGTGGCACTCCTTTAATTGCCTTTTGCGATACGTCAATTTGAGTGCTGCTTTTCCTTCATGATTCCTAACTATCAGCTGCCAGAAGCCACTCTCATGATTTATTTATTTATTTATTTATTAATTTAATTTGTATACCGCCCTTCTCCCAGAAGGGACTCAGGGCGGTGAACAGCCAAAATTAAAAAACATACAAATGCAAAAGTTAATATAATTAAAAGAATTAAATCATTGGCTACCCAAATTTAAAACCCCAAATCCATAAAACTTAAAATCCCAATTAAAACCATTTAGGCTAGGCCGGCTTGATGAAATAAAAACGTCTTCAGGGCTTTACGGAAGGTCCGGAGGTCCGGGATCAATCGTATTCCAGGAGGCAGCTCATTCCACAGGGCAGGTGCCCCCACAGAGAAGGCTCGCCCCCTGGGGGCCGCCAGCCGACATTGCCTGACCGACGGCACCCCGAGGAGGCCCTCTCTGTGAGAGCGTATTGGCCGGTGGGAGGTTATCGGTAGCAGCAGGCGGTCTCGCAAATACCCTGGCCCTAAGCCATGGAGCGCTTTAAAGATGAGAACCAACACCTTAAAGCGCACCCGGAAGACCACCGGGAGCCAATGCAGCTCGCGCAGGAGAGGTGTTACGTGGGAGCGCCACGTCGCTCCCATAATCACCCGCGCAGCCGCATTCTGCACCAGCTGGAGCCTCCGGGTGCTCCTCAGGGGGAGCCCCATGTAGAGAGCGTTACAGTAGTCCAGGCGTGACGTAACCAAGGCATGAGTGACTGTGCACAAGGAGTCCCGATCCAGAAAGGGGCGCAACTGGCGTATCAGGCGAACCTGATAAAAAGCCCCCCTGGCCACGGCCGTCATATGCTCTTCTAAAGACAGCCGTGTGTCCAGGAGGACGCCCAAGTTGCGAGCCCCCTCTGTGGGGGTCAGTGACTCGCCCCCAATAGCCAGCGATGGCACCAGCTGGCTATACCGGGACGCCGGCATCCACAGCCACTCGGTCTTGGAAGGGTTGAGCCGAAGCCTGTTCCTCCCCATCCAGACCCGCACGGCCTCCAGACACTGGGACATCACTTCGAGGGCATCATTGGGGTGGTCTGGGGTGGAAATGTACAGCTGAGTGTCATCAGCGTACAGATGGCATCGCACCCCAAAACCACGGATGATCTCACCCAGCGGCTTCACATAAATGTTGAACAGGAGCGGCGAGAGGACCGACCCTTGCGGCACCCCGCAAGCAAGGCGCCTCGAAGTCGACCTCTGCCCCCCTGCCAACACAGACTGCGACCGGTCAGAGAGATAGGAGGAGAACCACCGCAACACGGTGCCTCCCACCCCCAGTCCCTCCAGCCGGCGCAGCATGATACCATGGTCGATGGTATCAAAAGCCGCTGAGAGGTCTAACAGGACCAGAACAGAGGAACAACCCCTGTCCCGAGCCCTCCAGAGATCATCCACCAATGCGACCAATGCCGTCTCCGTGCTGTACCCAGGCCTGAAGCCGGACTGGCACGGATCTAGATAGACGGTTTCATCCAGGAACTGTGGGAGCTGGCGCGCAACCACACTCTCCACAACCTTCGCAACAAAGCGACGATAGTTTGCCAAAACGGCCGGGTCCAGAGAAGGCTTCTTGAGGAGGGGCCTCACCACCGCCTCTTTCAAGGCGGGAGGCAAGAAACCCTCTCTCAGAGAAGCATTTATGATCCTCTGGAGCCAGCCTCGTGTTACCTCCCGGGTGGCCAGTACCAGCCAGGAGGGGCACGGGTCCAATAAACATGTGGTTGCGTTTAATCTCCCCAGGATCCTGTCCACGTCCTCAGGAGTCACAGGGTCGAACTCATCCCAGGTAACATTCTCAAGACCAGCCTCAGTCACCCCGCCGGGATCTACCCAGTCAGAGTCCAAGCCTTCCCGAATCTGAGCGATTTTATCGTGCAGATACTGTGCAAAATCCTCAGCCTGCCCTTGCAAGGGGTCCTCCCGTGCTCCCTGATGTAGGAGGGAGCGGGTCACCCTAAACAAGGTGGCTGGGCGGTTATCTGCCGATGCAATAAGAGCGGAAAAGTGGTTACGCTTTGCCGCTTTTATCGCCACTAGATAGGTCTTAATATGAGACCTAACTAGTGTTCGGTCGGATTCGGAGCGACTCGCCCTCCAACCACTCTCTAGGCATCTTTTCCGGCGCTTCATCTCCCTCAGCTCCTCGGAAAACCAAGGGGCCGGGCAGGTTCGGCGTCGGGTCAGAGGCCGCAAAGGCACGACTCGGTCCAGAGCACCGGCGGCTGTCCTATCCCAGGCAGCCACCAGATCTTCAGCCGAGTCGTGTGCCAGAGTTTCAGGAACTGGCCCAAGCTCCCTCTGGAACCTATCAGGATCCATCAGGCGCCTGGGGCGGAACCACCTGGTCGGTTCCGCCTCCCTGCAGTGGGGTGCAGCGGTCGAAAGGTCCAGTCTCAGGAGAGAATGGTCCGACCATGACAGGGGTTCAATAACTATATCCCCTATATCCAGACCACTCCGCCACTGACCAGAGATAAAAACCAAGTCCAGAGTGTGTCCTCCCGCGTGAGGCCATGAATTAGTGTGTGTGTGTGTGTGCACAATTTATTGATTAGCCTATATAGTATAGGCCATATCAACATACAGGTTCAAACACATATTACCAATAAAATTCTAAACAAACAATTTAAAATGAGAGTGGGGTAAAATACAATAGTTATAGGATAAAATCTAATAATTTAATACATAAAGAGGTAAAATAGAATGACATAAAATTATATTTCTTTATCACCCCTACAATCTACCCCAATCAGGCCCACATATGCCGATCTCAATCGGACCACTTTAGTCAGAAATTGTGCTGTATTAATGTCGTTTTCAGATACTGGCCAAACATGCGGTATGTTGTTTTAATATAGGCCTCCCACTGGGCCATACGTTTAATATGTGAATCTAGGTACTTATCTCTCGCTCCCTTATATAAAAGCAACTGAATAATATATGAGTCAGATCTCCTACCTCTTCTGCTCCACAGATACATATACGTTCATTGTATGGGAGAGGATTTCAGGATGTGATAATCCATGCCAGATCAGTTGGTGATAAAACAAGAATTACTACAAAAGTTCTTTATTGTGACAATTGGCCCAGAAGGCCACTGTGATAGATGCTGCTGACAGGTTCTTTCTGGCAGTACATAAGTCATCAGAGTCTGGAGCAGGCACTACCAAATCGTTCAGATCTGGAGGAACATTTCTGCACGAAAGACATGATTTTGAGCTTTTTTTCTTTCTCACTTTGAGATAAGGAAAAATCCCCACGGTAGCTGAAATCTCTTCTACATGCTACTGATGTAATCTGCTACAGTTTTAATCTCTCTTTTAATAATTCTTCCATCTTTTCAATACGTCTATTTATTTTTCCGTTTTAGGAAAGTTTGATGCTTTCAATTTTGCCCAGACATGTAGCAGATGAAATGCTGAAGGATATGAAGAAAGATGCTAGCCAAAAAGAATTGCAACAGTTCAACACCATGTATATGTACCGTCATGAAAATGTCAGGTAACGAATGTGGCTCTTTTAAGGAAGATATTCTGTAGATCAGACTTCCCCAATCTTTCTGGGTTGGTGACACGGAGGAGGGGAGGGGCAGGCAACTTTACCCATACACTTACATCGCACATGCACGAATGCCCCCCTGTGCAAACAGGGCCGCAAGTGTGCACGATGCTTGCAGCAACACTAGTGCTCATGTGACACTTGCGGCAATGCTAGCATCCACATGACACTTGTGGCAACGCTTATATGATGCTTATGTGATGCTTAAGGCAACACTAGTGCGACTGGGGGGATGGCCGCGAGCACATATGCACGCACTGGTCAGCCACTCACATGGCCCACAGGTTGGGACCCCCTGCTATAGATGATTTGCTGGTACTGACAAGGCCATTTCCTGGATCAGTACACAATAAGAGAAAATAAAATTCAATGCTAAGCCATTATTTGAAGTAAATCTTTATGAGCACAATGAGTGTCTCCACAGGAAAAGGTAATTGCGTAATTCAGCTATGACACAAAGCACAATTCAAACAAAATAACTTTCCAAATTCATCACAACATAACATGCAGCTCAGAAGCAGAAGGAATAATATAATTATTGTGCTTAGTGTTGGAATAAAACAGCAGAGCAAAAGTAGGCAATTGTTTTCTTCATGACACTCTATGCAAACTGGTTTGCATTTCTCCAGCAAGCACCTTAAACCTGTACAAGTGAAATCCTAACAGCCAAATATTGGACTTAGCGGTGGTGATAGTTTTAAGAATGGGAATGGAATAATGTGACACTGGGAGGCCTCCTGTTCCCAACACACTTCATAAAAACTGAACAAAAATAGGTAATCATTTCACTGTGTTATTTAAGTAGCAGATCTTGTGACCTTTCACACAATTGGGAGTTAGTTACAACCCCTGATGTCTTAAACACTTCTGAAATAGAAGAAGCTAGTAAACATCAATATGGAGTTAAAGCAGAAATATCAAGGAACTGATGACACTGAGACTAAATTTCAGATGAGAGATTAATAAATCAAATGGTACAACATCATAAATTGTTTTTGCTGCAGCTAAGTTAAATGACATCTCACCTGTTTTGGCTCTCATGTCTTTCATTCTACAGCATCCTTTTTGCTGACATCGTAGGCTTTACGCAGCTGTCATCCTCATGCAGTGCCCAGGAATTGGTGAAACTTTTGAACGAACTCTTTGCTCGATTTGATAAACTAGCAGCTGTGAGTTTCTTGATCAATCTTGATTATTTACTTACATATAATTCTGGAAATCCTTTAGATCTTCGGAGCAAATTGTGTGTAATTCAACCCAAACTACCCTTCTTATTTTTAATTATGGCTTTATGCAGTTTGAGCAAATTAAAATGGAGAAGAAGCAGACAAACACAATTCTGATATACAAGCACCAATATAACGGGAGAAGATTTACCTGAGATGAGGTTAAGCTTTCCTGCTCTTCTGCTTTTTTTCTCTATTTTTAAAGTGTTCTTGCCAAAGAGCTATTCTATATATATCTATATCTATATCTATATATTTAAAAATCTGGCTGAAATTACATATTTAGAAATAAGAAAAAAACCCATTTTTTTGAGATTATACTGAGAGTTCTGGTAAATAAATATATTTTACTGCCATATATTCAACTTCCAAACAAGATTCTGTGCCCAGCTGATGTCATTGTTAAATGTATTCAAATATCAGAACAGGATAGATTTAGTACTTTTTAATTATAAGGTTTCTATAGCATTGCTTGAGAGATTTGATTTGACTATCCATTTGTTTTCTCAGCCATCTGGCTAGGACTATGGAAGCTGTAGTGAAATGCATCTGGAGGGCAATGTTTGCACAAGGATTAAATCTCATAAATAGGACTAAAGACAATATAGGAGAATGAAGCTGCTACAGTATATGATTATGCCAGCTATTTAAAGTACAAGCAGTTCTTGACTTAGGACCACAATTGAGCCCAGAATTTATGTTGTGAACTGAGAAATTTGTTAAGTGAGTTTTGCCCTGTTTTACAACTTTTCTTGCCAGGTTTGTTAAGTGAATCACTGCAGTTATTAAGTTAGCAACATGGTTGTTAAGTGAATCTGACTTCCCCATTGACTTTGCTTGTCAGAAGGTCACAAAAGATGATCACATGACCCCGGGACACTGCAACCGTCATAAGTATGAACCAGTTGTCAAGCATCCAGATGTAAATCACGTGACCATGGGGATGCTGCAACAGTCATAAGTGTGAAAAATAATTATAAGTCACGTTTTTCAGTGCCGTTGTAACTTCAAACGGTCACTAAATGAACTGTTGTAAGTCGAGGACTACCCTGTACATGTGTTTATGGATGTTACTATAATGAGCATTGGAATAAGAATTATTTCACAAATTAGTTTAGATTTACTGCACACTAATTTTTTCTTCAATTCATGATAATTATTTTGTATTAGCAGCCATATCTCTTTTGGAGTTGTTTGCTTGTCAAATTAATTAATTAATTAATTTTGCAGGGTATTATTGCTATCACCTATAATTAATTATTTCATTATCTTGAGAAATTACTTAGATTAACTATGCTAAAGAGTAAACAAACTGAAAAGTCTACTTTAGCATTTATTACAATGTTATTTAATTATATAGTGACAATTAATTAATTATGAGATTTCATTTCAGAAAATATAAGAAATAAAGCCTCCAAATTCTTTTACCCCAAATGTGGAGCTATCTTATCCAATTTGGATTTTGCCAAAATTATTCTCTTACTTACTAGAAATGAATATTTCAGTAATCTGTAAATTATTGTAGATTGTATTGTATTGTATCGATCTATCTTCTTCATGAAAGGTTACAGAGATTTCAGATGTCAGCATGTTATACATGTAATTCCCCCTGTATTTTCCCACTGTTGCTTTTTGTACAATATTAAAAAAAATTGTACAATGTTAGGAAATGAATATAGTATATGAAGGTTTGGGGACTGTTTCGTGAACTATGAAGGTAGAAGCACATTCCAGTAGATGTTTGATTATTTACTTTTGCCAGAAGGTAAAAGCTGCTTTGAAATACACAGTAGTGTTCATGTAACTTCTCTTGACAACTTCTTAAACCAGATGTTTTCTTGCGATCATGCTGCTACAAGAGGGAACAATTATGTGACCCCAGAAAAACACACAAATGCTACAAGGAATTGTCAGAAAAGATTATCTGAGCAACTCCTGTGTTCTGAAATAGTTTTCCTGCTTTAAATCCAAGTGGGATTCATTGTTAAGTGGGATGGTCATTAAGTGACACATCACTTTACCCAATTTTATTACCTTTTCTGCCACAGTCATTAAGCAAGACATCACGTGACCAGGCTTGCAACCTCCTGCCAGTTTCCTCATTGACTTCGCTTGTTGGTATACACTGTATACAAACAATAAGTAAATAAACGAATGCCCAATTATGATAGTTGACTGATTTTCAATATTTCAGGGTTTTGAGTAACTTGTGACACACTATCAGCAATACTTAATATAGAAATCTTTTTGCGGTTTAATGTTGACCATTTCTAAATTTCTGTCTTTAGTATTAAAGTTGCATATAAGTTTAAATTTGTGAGTTGAAGAATCAATATATAAAATGATGTTTGTCTAAATTAATCAAGGTAGAAAATTAAAAAAACTAATTTGAGTTGATTACTGATTATAACTTTGAATAAATATTAGGGTTGTGCATGCTTTAAAAGTGGTTTAGAAGGGCTTCAAACTTTGCTTGAAGACTTTAATGAACTCTGCTATTCATTAAGGCAGTTTCAGACTACCACATGTTCCTAAAAATTGTAGCTGCTTTAAGAGTTTCATGATCTGAATCCCAACTGGAGAACCATTGGAAAATTGTAGCAATTTAGAAAAACCATATGGTTTGATCTAATTTCATGTGACATCCATTCATGTATTAGAAACATATGATTACATCTATTTCCCTTCCCCCATCTTCTCAAGCTAAACATATGCAGTTCCCTCAGTTTTTCAATCTTGCCATATGGTTTAGTTTGCAATTCCCTGATCATTCATGTTATATTCTTCTCTGAACATTCTCTCATTTATCTGAATATTTCTTGTGCTATCATACTCAGAACATGAGATAGTGCTTGAGCCATGAAGAATAAAATGAATTATTATTTGTGATAACTTCAAAAGTACAGCGTACCTCTTGAGGCAGCCTAAAATATTGCTTGCCTTTTTCCCCCTTTTGTATTATGGTTCCATAACGGAATCATAAAGGAGCCTGAGTGGCGTAGGAGGCTAATGCCTCCTACTAAGGCAGCATTTAACATCCAGCTGCCTGCAATTACTGCGAGTTCAATTCTCACCAGGCTCAAGGTCAACTCAGCCTTCCATCCTTTCTAAGGTGGGTAAAATGAGGACCTGGTTTGTGGGGGCAATAAGCTGACTTTGTATAAAAGTTACAAAAGTATGAAGGCTATTGCTTAACGTGTTGTAAGCCGCCCTGAGTCTCCGGAGAAGGGCGACATATAAAAATAAATAAATAAAAAATTGGAGTCATATTATCAACTAGGGATCTGTAGTGTGCTACACCATAATCGAAAGAGCCGTGGTGGTGCAGTGGTTAGAGTGCAGTACTGCAGGCTACTTCTGCCAGCTGCCTGCAATTTGGCAGTTCGAATCTCATCAGGCTCAAGGTTGACTCAGCCTTCCATCCTTCCGAGGTGGGTAGAATGAGGACCCAGATTGTTGGGGGCAATAGACTGACTCTGTAAACCGCTTAGAGAGGGCTGTCAAGCACTGTGATGTGGTATATACATATATACATACACATATATATATAAGTCTACGTGCTATTGCTAGTGCTATTTTGGGTCAGAGGATGAATGAGGCAAGGAACCCATGGCAACTTTTTCAACAATAGGTTTAAAAGTAAATTGCAGGTTTCTGAGACCTGAAAACCCTAAACCTTTACTTTTTATTTAAAAATGGCATTCTTACAGAAATACCATCAACTGCGTATCAAGATTCTGGGTGACTGCTACTACTGTATCTGTGGATTGCCAGACTACCGTGAAGACCATGCTGTTTGCTCAATCATGATGGGTCTTGCTATGGTGGAAGCTATTTCGTAAGCAAACTTCACAATTTGCAAATTTGCATGCTGTTTTTTGATTTTTGCAGCCTGGGATGTTGTCTTTTTTTTTTTCATTCATGGTTTTTTCTTTTTCCCACATGAAAAACTCTTGTTTTATGAAGTTGCCAAGGAATATTTTTTGTGTGAAATATATTGTTTTATAAGAACTTTATTGAATTACAGATGTGAGAGCCATATTTGCTTAGTTCATTTGCTTTATGTAATTTATTAAAATCATAGAGCTGCAGGAGTGAGATGGGTGGCAAATAAATTTAATAAATGCATAAATAAGCCTCACTGCAAGATTCTCTATTTGATTGCAGAACTCTTTTTCTCTTCTCTGTTGTCTTACCGTATTTAAAGACAGTAATATTTATTATATCATTATTTCCTGATGTATCCTTGCATATTTTTCACCTAAAGGTTAATTGTGTAGAAATCTTCCCCTAAGTGTGGTTGCTTCTGAACTGTAAATTTTCATCTTAGTTTATCTTTTCCAGCTGGAGATTCAGAAAAAAATGTTTCCTGGTCTTTTTTCCACTCACCATGATAACTAAACAATATCATTCCAGCTAATTTTGCCTCTCTGTAAAACAAACTTCCATGCTTAGAAAAGTCTTAGGAACGGAAAATTTTGGTCTTGAAAATAAGTATTTATGGGAAATTACAGGAATAGCAACACTGAAATTAGTTTTACAACTCAATTATAGAAACAAGCTAGAGAAATACAAGAGAGGAGAAAAGGAGAACTTGGTTATTAGGCAATCTTTGGAATCTGGCAGAAGTTCAGATTTCATAAGAATAAACAAAACTATATTTCCTTAGTGCTCTAAACTAGGATTGTTGACAGTAATAGAGCTCATCACGCTTTTTCGACACAGTTTTTCCAGCCCTATCTAAATGGTCAAGGTTTCACAGGGGATCCTTGAACTGTAAAGAAATAGCTGTTACCAAGTTATTGCTTTCCCCCCGTGCTATGTAAAAAGCCATATCTTGCATTTAGAATTAATTTTTACTAGTGTGCCTATTCCTGTATTCAAATCCTCTTCAAAACCAGAGTTTGTCCATGATGGCTGAGATTTAGGGCCCTTGTAGTTTACCCACATCTGGAGACTACTATATTGGGGAGCTTTGTGTTCCCTTAATGAAACCTTAGACTTAGAATAACTTTATTGTCACTTTGAATGTACACTAATTGGCATTCATTAAAATGAAATTACATTGCATAAAGCTCTCAAAGGGACCTCTAATATAAGCATAAAAATGACAAGATAAATAAATAAATACAAAATTATGCATGTACCCACATATATTATATGACAAGGAGAAACAACACAGTCTAGTTCGGATGTATACATAGACATGGCAAGAGAAACAAATCTTGCAAGTTTACCAGATGGATGGCATAGGGAACAAAGCTGATACAGAATCTGGAAGTCCTGCTAGAAATACTTCGAAACCTCCTCCCAGAGGGGAGCAACAAAAACAGACCGTAAACTGAGTGTGTGGGGTCTCTAACAATGCTTTGAGCTCTAAGCACATAGTGCTTATAAGCAGTATCCTGAATAACAGGAAGCGAGCTTCCTATAATCTTCTCGGCTATCCTTACCACTCTCTGAATGGACTTTCTATCTGAGGCACTGCTGCCACCAAACCAAACAGTGATGCAGTTTGTTAACACGCTCTCAATTGTCCCTCTTTAAAAAGTAGCCAGGATAGAAGGAGAAAAAACCTAAACAATTATAGCAACCTCATATTGCTTGTTTATTTTCTTTTCCTTCCTACCGCCCTTAGCAGCAATGAAGCTCTACGCACAATAAAAGCAGCCATAGCAAAGCCTTCTCAAGTACAGAAACAGGAAATAACCATTCTTTTGAGATAAATATTGCTTATTATTAATTTATTCCTCTATAGCTACGTACGAGAGAAGACAAAAACAGACGTGGACATGCGTGTGGGGGTGCACAGCGGCACTGTCCTTGGTGGAGTCCTAGGGCAGAAACGTTGGCAGTATGATGTATGGTCTACAGATGTAACTGTAGCTAACAAGATGGAAGCAGGTGGCATCCCCGGGTAAGTGCCTCCTAAGGACTGGTTTTTTTCAGGACTGTTGTTATAAACACGTTACAAAGAATCATACAGTTCTAACTTGTGTTTAGAAGGCAAGTTAATACTGCAAACTTAAAAAATCCAAAACCAGATCTTCTGTTGAAAACACCATCCAGGTCTAGGGCAGTATTTATTTTAAACTAGCAGCTAGACTCACTGTTTTGCAGTAAAAACAAGGTACCTGTTCTTAGGATATGCTTCAGGATCACTTAGAAATGTATAAACACATATTATGCATTGCATTGCATTGCATTACATTGCATTTGTATGCTACCATTCTTGGATAGGCTCTGGGTGGCGAACAACCTGGTAAAAACAACCTTCTGAAAAATAGTAAATATAAAGCCCTTACAAAAGCAAAATTGACAAAATCAGTAAAAATAAACAGAAAATGTAGAAGGTCATGTTCCCACCAGATTCCAGCCTTCACTCACATGTCTTATCCTAGGTAGGAGGAACTCCCTTCTGAAAACTAGGAGGGAAAGAGGAGATGGGATCTCTGTGGGGAGAGACTTCCAAAGTATGGAGGCAATGATTGAAAAAACCTGCTTCCAGAGACCTTTCTGATCACAATCTTGCACATATAGCACTTAGACTTATATATCGCTTCACAGTGCTTTACAGCCCTCTCTAATACCTGGAAGGAGCTGACCCTATTCAGTCTGATTGGATTTAGATTGCCTATGTCCTTTCAGCAAAGGTCCTTTTTTGTTTTTTGCATTAATATTGCAGGGATTAAAATCCATACGTGCATTCATTTATGCTTTTCAAAATGGAGAGAAAGTGAGTTATAAACTAACCTGAATTATATTCATATCCAGTGGTGAAATGTAAAAGTAGTTACTACCGGTTCTGTGGGCGTGGCTTGGTGGGGGGTAATGTGACTGGGTGGGCGTGGCCAACTTTTTTTTTTTTAACTTTTAAAAGCATTTTTTCTACAACCTCTTCGGCCGAAGAGGTGGTAGAAAAAATGGTTTTAAAAGCCTCTGATGATCCCAGCTGAGCCGCGCGATCATCAGAGCCTTTTTTTTTTACTTTTAAAAGCATTTTTTCGGCCGAAGAGGTTGTAGAAAAAATGCTTTTAAAAATAAAAAAAAGCCTCTGATGATTGCGTGGCTCAGCTGGGCTTGGGGGGGGCAGGGATGTTTGCTACTGGTTCTCCGAACCACCGACCGCCATCGCTACCGGATCGGATGACCTGGTCCGAACCGGGAGCATTTCACCCCTGTTCATATCGCATGCACATTCCCTACTAACAATAAATATTCTACCATTCAGTATAGTATATGTGCCAATAAGCCACAGGCACAACCAAACCCCAGCTCTAAAATAACAACACAAACGAATTGTGAAACAAATATAAAAATCAAAACCAGATAAAACTACAAAAATAAAATTAAGAAAGAAGTTAGTGGAGTTCATGAACTTAACTAGAGTATTTCCTGAAGCAACTCACTTTTTAACATCTTCCTGAATGCCATTAAGGAAGTGGTTGGTCTGTCCTTGGTTAGGAAATTATTCTGAAGCACCGGTACAACAAATAAAAAAGCAACGCCTCCTAGCTCTGATTTGAGGAGTTTGTAGTTTGTGAAGCTGTGATAGTTGTGTGTGCTGAGGCAGTATCCAGTTGTCGCTTATTTTGAAAATGGTGTCATAAAACATGGGAAAGATATGCGTGATAATATACTATTGTGGGGTTCAGGGGAAGGAATGATGGACTGAAGATGTCTCTGCAAAAGCAGAACTGATGACTGTAGCAAAGACCAAGGAACTGGTGAGTAGACAGGTTCCTTGGAACTTCTCCAGATAAGGAGAGGATGGAAGATTGCCCATATTTGCTCTGGATGGCTGCTCTGTGCCAGGAGACCACAGGACAGCAGTCTCCCACCAGTGTGAGTGTCGGGAGATGATGGGAATAGCCATCTTGCTTGCAACCATGATCAGCACCTTTTAAAGAATACTAAGTTTGCTAATTTTACTTTCTAATCACTTTCAGAAATTGCTTATTTACTTATTAACTTCTTTTAAGCTTAGAGACCTTCAGAATGTCAAGTTTGAAAGTACTAGGTGATTTCTTTTTCAACCCTGAATGAAAAAGTAATCAATCATAAGCTTAAGAATGTAAAGAATTTAAATAAACAACAAGTAAGATTTTGATCTTAGAAAGTTATAACTGGATTAACGGTCCAGATAAATTTGGAACTTAGAAAGTTTTACTCTATGATTTTTGGAATAAATTATAAAAAACAAACGGCTTCTTGTGGGAAATAGATCTGATTTGGTTATTGCAAGATGTAACAAAGATAAGTAATTTTATTTTTTAAATTGGACACTAGAAAGGACAAGAGGGAAAAAAATAAAGCTCACATATTGTGTTAGTTAACTGGACCTACAAAATAATGCAAAATGTTGTAACATTGAAAATATTAAAGGAGAATTTTGAAGAATGGAGCCAGAAATTAGTGGCTATAATATCAACAGTGTCAGCCATGATGTTTGATTCTATGAACAGACTACATCAAAAAGATATTACTGAAGAAATGATAGAAATGGAACAAATTTATCTGACAAAATAGAGATGGTACTGAAAGTGGATTTACAAATGGCAGGCTAAAAAAATGATGGAAAATGATGTCTCACTGAATATACAAAAAACAAAAAACCCTACTAATGTTTTAAAAATCAAAATGGAAATATAAATGGAAAACCAAGAAAGTCACCTGGATAATTTTTTTCTTATGGGATTTATAAAAGAGGTTTATTAAAGACCTGAAAAACTCTTTCTCGGCCAGCCCAACCGAGGCTCGACACTCTTTGTGATGGGAAAATGTAATGGGATATGTGGATGACATTTACACATTCCACTACATGAGTGGAAGAGATACTGCCTAGGAAACAATCAGACAAGAGAGGCAGGAACTTCATAGTCAGAAAGAGACCTAGGAAGACCCACCTTAATGGATGAAGCAGTTAAAAGTGACAATGGAAAGTTTGTACTTTCAGACTTGGAGGATTCTGTTAATGTAGCCTTACAGCAAAGTAGAATTAGTTCATCTTGTCACGTTTTCCTATCTGGTTTAAAGATAAAGAAGAAATGAACAGAAATTAAATCCTATGAAAATATCTGAATGAACTGTTGAGACTGTTAGAAGTAAAAGGAAGAAATATAAAGTTGTTTATTTGATACAAGGTTAAAATAGAATAGAAAAGAATAGAAACTTTATTGTCACTTTAAATGTACACTAATTGGCATATGTTAAAATGAAATTTCTTTGCATTCAGCTCTCAAAAGATAACCATTATACATATACCCACATACACACACATATATGAGACAAAAAAATCACAGTCTAAAAAGGTTAAAAGATGATATGTTGTTACATACTACTGGCAGCCTTTTAGGGACTTCCTGCTAACACCAGAATTGAAAACACTGTGTTTTATGGACTTCTCTATAGATATGGATTGGATGATAGATGAAGAAATAATTGTAACTCTGGAAGTGATGAAAAGCCTCTAAATGTGTTACTTGTGATGAAATTTGGAAGCAATTTCTTTACATATTTCTTTTCTCTTTATTAGATTCTTACTTTTCTCCTTTTTCTTTTTCCTTGCACTTTTTCCTTTTTTCTTTCTTTAAGTTTGGCTGGTATAGATTTTACTATTAGAATCAAAATTCTTAATAAAAATTTATCAGGGACGTTATACTGAAAAATACTTTCTAATTATTTCAGGACAGTGGTATAGTCTATTTGTATAAATTCTGAAAGTCCTTGAGGTTCTGGACTTTTCTCTGATCTTGTTCTTCAACAGCACTCACATTTTCTCCTTTATTAAGGCTGACTGCATTTTCTGTGGTCCTTTTAGGCGTGTACACATTTCTCAGAGCACCATGAACTGCTTAAAAGGAGAATTTGAGGTGGAACCCGGAGATGGTGGGTCACGATGTGAATACCTAAAGGAAAAGGGGATTACCACCTATCTCATAATAGTCCCGAAGCAGGCACTCAAGAATGGGATCAATGGGGTGGTGAGTATTGCTTTCACTAGATCCTTTGAAAAGAATGGAATTATATATCAGCTTTGTTAGGATCAGAGGAAAGAGAAGAACATGTTCTCATCTAACTTTTTCCTTTTAGCTTCATCATGATACTAGGTCATATTGATGCTTGATTTTAATTCAGATTGATTACCTTGATGCTGCTGCTGCTATTAGCTATTCTAAGCACTTGAATGTTTTTCTTTCTAACACAAAAGTTATTTTGACTGGGACTTCTCTGCATTTAGAGAAGAAAATTCTGACAAGAGGTCTAATACCTTTTGGATACTTAATTTAGATAACCTAGTGGCCCTATACACATTGTTCTGTTTCTTTTTCTGTTTCATGTTACAGAAGTTATCTGTCTCATCCTCCCATGGGAACTCACCTCAATTGATCAACACCAAAGAATGCAATGGGAGCATTAATACAACCTGCACAACCCCAGATGAGGCAGAAGAATCGGATACTAGGGTAAAGCGGCAGAATGGATAGAGAAGGATAAACGCTTCGTTGACATGTGTTCCAAGAAAAGCTGCTTATATGTAAAAAGTAAAAAATATGTCCCAAAGGTACTTTTTCAAGAGGCAACTAGTTTTTCTGGGTTTTATTTTTGAAGACGTTTCACTTTTCATCGAAGAAACTTCTTCAGTTCTGAGCTGAAGAAGAGCTGCAGAAGCTTCTTGGATGAGAAACAAAACGTCTTCAAAGAAAAACCAGAAAGTCCAGTTGCCTCTTGAAAAAGCATCTTTGGGACAACCGTGACCTGGATGACTGAGAATCTCCATAGACATTAAAATTATGTATATTTGCACGTGCATAGATTGGGGGTGTTTTGTGGATAGAAAAGTGATCATTACTAAAATCCTTCTAGGGTAATGTACATTTTAAAATGCTTTTGAAAAATAAAATCTTTAAAAATGAAAATGGAATCAATAACCAGTTGACCTTAACCAGGTAATAAAAACTAACAGGAAGCTTAAGAACAGTAAATCCAGAATTAAAAAAAACCCTTTACATGGGTGCAGCTTTGTGAGGGAGGGAGGATAAACAAAAGACATTGAATATCAGGTTAATTTTGTAGAAAAGTTCCAAACATGAATTCTGTGTCAAGAAGCCCACTAATAAGTACTTGCCTGTCTTTAGGCCTCTGATGAGGATCGGTATAAAGTTCAGTCAAGCTTGTTGACTTGTGCCATCTGTTACACTTCTCCTAGACCTAGGCCTAGGGAATAGTAAGAAACTATTTGCATGCAGAGAGTGTGCTTTACAGCTGAGTTATATCCATGGCGGTTTGCCTTAAGCACCATGGAATTAGTTTCGAGTTTTTTAAAATAAGTGTAATTCAGTATAAAATTGTTAAGCACTCCAGTGTATACTTCTAAGTGATCAAGCAAGTGTACACTAAGCACTAAGTTCGCTTAATGTATACTTGAAGCCTTAATATAGGTTGCATACTATACTATACTAATATAGGTTGCATACCTTGCTATTTCAGATATTACACACTTGATCCTTTAACCTACTTGGTTTGAACTTGTCCTAGTTTTGTTGCATTTTGGATAATATTAACAGGATGTTAAGATGACTCTAGGTCAACTGCTATATGTTAAGGGTGTAGATGATTTTCTTCAGTATATTCCCAGGATTGGAATCTTATCAAGCAATAGAATTGTAGGTTTGAGGGCAAAGATTAGCTAAAGGGGTTATTATATATAACTGGAAGTAGAAATCTATGCTTGATTTGCTGCAATATTGCTGATATGCATTGTTTGCTAACATTTTAATTAGTCTTTGAGACAAAGAAGATGACTCTGACATTATATGGTAACAGTTTTAAAAATATTTTGGTTATGATGTGATTTCTAGTCCCTTTCCCTTTTTTTTATTGCTGCATGTTTTGATTTTGTAGTGGAGTTGATATCTATGGAGATTCTCAGTCATCCCGCTCATGATTGCCCCAAAAATGCTGTTGAAAAAGCCTCTTGAACAGCATCTTTGAACGGAGTTGATATTTAATGTTTTCCATATTTTCTATTTATTTGTTTGTATAATACATTTTTTTAAAAAAAAACTTGAGTGGCACCTCTTCCAAAATCAGAAAATATTGCAAATATGTTTTCTTTGCGCATAGCACAGAAAAAAAGTATGTGTGTGGTGTGTATGTTTAAAATTGCAAGGTGGTTTCATGACAAAAGTGACACACAAGGGGGAATATGTCAAATTAAGCATTCAGAAGTATATGCTCCTGTTACAACTGCAATAAAAATAGTAGTAAGACAGGTAAAAATAGCAATGAGGGTAAGTGAGTGGCATCCTAAGCAGAAAGTTGAGAAATGTAAACAATATTTCCAACAATATTTCCGACTACTTCAACGGAACACGTTATACAATTCTTTTTTGTAGATCTTTTGCCTATGTCCTTGGTGTGTCATTAGTGGTGAAATCCGAACCGGTTTGCTACTGGTTCGCTGGCCGTACATGCATACTGCACGCCAAATGCGCGCTCTGCATGTGCACTCGCATGCACACTATACACCAAAAGGAGGCTTGGGAAGGTAAGTAGAAGTGAGGGGGGGGGATCAGCTGTGGTGTGCGATTTAGCTTTGCTAGAAAGCAGGATTTCCTGCTTTCTAGCAAAACTAAACTGTGCTGCACAACTGATTCCCCCCGCTGTTCTACTTACCTTCCCAAGCCTCCTTTTGGTGCATGCTGTGTGTGTGCGCATGTGCAGTACAGGCCAAAAGGGGGCTTGGGAAAGTAAGTAGAACAGCGGGGAGGATCAGCTGTGCAGCGCAGTTTAGCTTTGCTAGAAAGCAGATTTCCTGCTTTCTAGCAAAGCTAAACCCTGCTGTACACTGATCATCGGAAATACCGGTTTGGAGGAACCAGTAGCTTTTTTTTACTACCGGTTCATTCAAACGGTAGTTTTTATCACGACTGGGTCACCCGAACTGGAGTGAACTGGTAGCATTTCACCCCTGTGTGTCATCCGTGTGTGGAAACATGACTACCATTCCCTTCCTTGTTCCTTGTTTTTAAAGAGTTACTTTAATTTAAAAATTAAATGGAAAATTGTATGTTTAAATTGTATGGTAAATAACTGGGGATTTTTTTGTAAAACTGCCCATGTGGTCAAAAACAGAGAAGAAGTTAGGCCGGGCAGGAAGAGAACCTCTTTGAGGGATGGGTGGGGTGGGAGTGGAGAAATAGACGAGGTACATGGTGTAAAGAAGCGCTCAGAGTCACCTCGAACTGCAAGATGGGCAACAAATAAATAAAATTTTGCTTTTTTAAAACAAAATCTTGTTTAATTAAATTTCAGCAGAAAGTAAAAAATGACTTTTGATTTGTCTTCTTTTCTATCCA